CATTTGTCCCCACCCCCTACACCCCATCCGCGTGCAGTAGATAGATTAGTGTTACAGAATTGGTTAAACCCTCCTCAATCAGCCCACAACCAAAGACAGGTTACGTTTGTCTATAAACGAGATGAGGAAACATGGAAAATTGAATAGGGTCAAACGACACGGACAATCTTTCTTCGGTAATGACGTTTGCGCTTATCCCTTTCGACGCCACGACGCTCAAATATTTTGCTTCCTCGTTGCTATGGCGACTAATAATGAAAATATTTTCGGGATCCTTTTACTATTATTTTATCGCTGTATCGCTGTGGAAAAGTGTTTTTAAAATATTTTTCAAAACATATTTCACCAATTAAATTTAATTAATTCAAATTTAAATCAAGCCATAAATAATAGCAACAAAGGCACGATATAATGATAATTAATTTTTACGACAAAGGCGGGTCCGCCTTCTTTTTTTTAATCATCTCAACAATGTAGCACGGAAAATTAATAAGAAATACCCTTTTTCTCCAACGAAGCCTCGCTCGCTTTGAATAATATTTCAATGAATTAAAAAAATATTGAAAAAGGTAACAGTGTTAATCATGCTGGCAAGGACATCGCTTTCTACTGTTCAATACTTGTTCATAAACGAGATATTCCTTCACTAATATGTACAATTTTTTATTGCGATATTTCTGAAAGTTTCTTTTTATTGTGGTTTATTCCGGTTAGTCAAATGAACTATAAGCATTGGGCTTCAGATTAATAATAGGAAACTCTACAATGTTTTCTAGCATGCTGTAAGCTTCTCGCATTCTTGCTTCTATTTCAATCACATGTTCGAAGCATTTGCTCCATTTTTCACAACCCATTGCCTATATTCCCTCGTGCGAGACGGTTTCAACTTCCCACCTTCGAAAAACTGATGTTACGCCCATAGCATTTTACTTGCGCACCGACCAGTTTTATGGGTCGAACTTTTCAATCTCCAGCGTATCTTTCTGCAATTTCTTCTTATTTAAAGTAAGCCAATGAATGATGTCATTTTTCTTGAGTGGTAGCAACAGACCCAGATTTAGTACGTATATTCACCGAAAAGATCATACCTATGATTTCTTTAACTTTTTGAACGACCCTTGTATATGCAAGGTAGCTCAGGACATACTTCATGCATAATAATGACAATTAACCATTTGCTCACTGTAGTTGGTAAGTCTATCGAGTACAGATTTAAATGGACCAATAACCCACATAAAAGGAGTTTTGGACTATTGTGACGTAGTCAATTGGATGGCATAGAAAACTCACCCAGTGAAAGAAAATAAAATAAAATCAGTAGATGACATTGGTTTCTAATATAACTAACCAAAAATTCGTTCTGAAAAATGAAACTGTACCGATACTAGAAAGCATTTGTCAATTTGGTAGAGTTCTCCAAAAGATATACCGTTTTTACGTTATAATCCGGTATTTGACTTTGGTAAATTTTTATAAAAGTTTAACGTAATCCTACCTCGCTGACGTTCGTATTTCGGTACTTCGGACGGATTTGTGTAGAGTTACATCGGCGAGATTCCTCGATTATTATTAGTCCATGCAATGAAAAATCCATTCTTACTTTAAAATGTTTATTATACATATAAAATGACAAACTGAGTCTTGAAAAAACAATTGAATAACAGTAATTTGGTAATTACTAATTATAATCACAATAGGTAATAGAAATAACTCTAAAGCTGCTTCGACGGTAAGAAAATACTGTTTCCATAAACATCTATTATAAATCAAGTACGTATCTAAGATTTTGTATTGCTTTCTTAGGAAAGTTTAAGCTTTCTAATGTGTTTTTAAGATAGGAGATCAACCTATCTAATGGGCAAATTTAATTGAAAACGAGCTTCCTCAAGTAGGGACTGAAATAATATAACAGTTTAATCAAAGATTTCCCTAGTCTTAAAATATAACAGTCTGCATGGCACAGTTCTTGTCGGCTAACATTTTAAATACGGCCTTGGCGTGTGGTATACGATTTTCAACAAGCGGGTCTTAAAGTCTCACGTCAAAACCATAAAAAGTTGTAAAAGCGGTATATAGTTTGGAGAACTCTACCAATGCCTAAATATTCAAAATCTTGTTGTCCCAAAACAATTTTCAGCATACGTCAACGCGATAAAGTTGGCCAATTTTTTGTCCATTATGCAATATAACCTTCTACACGAAGTTACATTTAATTATGAGTTAGCCTGTAAAATCGAAACTAATTTCGTTGTGTAATTGCAAATTTTTCGATAAAAACAAATTCTTATGGAGATTCTATAAACAGAAGGGAAACATTTTTATTTACCCCAAAAAATTGTTAACCGCTGTTTTACTTGAAATTTGTTGACCGACGCTCTTTAAAAATCACAAACACAGCACTTATTTTTGTTTGTTTTTTTGTTTTCGGCGCCCAGTTTCAGGCAATTATATATATATATATATATATATATATATATATATATATATATATATATATATATATATATATATGTATTTAAAAAACAGCAGATGGAAATACCCTAGCATTAATAAATCATTTCTTTGCGGTCGCTGAGCGACGTATTGAGGGCGCCATAAAATTATCTGAAGGTTGAACGATGAAAGCTATGAAATTTTCTTCGTTATTTTTCTAACTAGTGCGGCAAACTGCGGAAATTTAAACGAGACCCTTTTTTTTAGTTAGTCTCGCTAAAACTCGAGAACGTCAGAACGGATTTATCTTATCTTGGTCTTGAAATATTCGTGGAGGTGTAGGGAAAGTTTAAAAGGTGAGAAAAATTATAATAATTGCCGGGAAAACCCTAAAAACAGCCCTTTCGTGCTAACCGCGCTGATGACCAGAGAGAGAGAGAGAGACCGATCAAGAAAATAGTCGCTATGTCAGAATCGCGTTATTTAGTGAGTGACAATGAAGCAGGTAGGCTGAGAATGCAACGAGTTCTTGCACATCAAACACAACAACAGCAAGAACGAATTTGCAACATCTCAAAAAATAGCGCATTGGCCAAGATCCTACAGGTATGCAAATGGATTGTTTGGTCCATAAGAGGTCGCTGGAGGCACTGGACAGAACGTTGAAAGATCTTCATGACAACCAAAATATTTTTGGTGGTGCCATGATTCTGTTGTCAGGTGATTTTCGTCAGACTCTTCCAGTCCAACTGTTGCTGATGAACTAAATGCATGCCTAAAATCATCGAATTTATGTAAAGACACTCCTCTCAACAACTAACATGCGGGTATTTTTGCAACAAGATGAAACTGCAAATGTGTGAATCAGTTGTTAGACATAGGAAATAATAATATTCTTCCAAGACAGTTACTTTCCTTCAAATCAGTCTACACCGTTATGAACCAGCAGTTGCAGTTAAAAGTAGGATCAGTTGCAATCATGCTGCGTAACATTAATCAACCGCGACTGTGCAGTGGAACATGACTAGCTGTGAAAAATCTGATGAATAACGTCATTAAAGCAACAATCATAAAAAGAAAATACGAAGGAGAGGATGTCTTGATCCCGCGGATGATTCCAACGGATTTACCATTCGATTTTAAACGCTTACAATCTCCAGTACGTCTGGCCTTTGCCTTTAGCCTTTAAATTAATTAACAGACTGTATCATAACAGTGCGTATCTGTTAATATCAAATGTATACCTTACAAATAGCCCGTATTTCAGGAAATAATAATAAAATAATAATAACACTTCATGCTTCATTCAAAAAATGCTTTTTTATTAAATACGGATTCGTTTTGTTTGTTTTAAGATTATTTTATACAAAAGTTTAGGTCTTTTATTTATTGACTGAGGCAGTACGAATTAGATAAGTACATTTAAATACAGAGATAAAGTATAAAAACCAAAAAAGAATAGAAACGACATAAAAACAGAGAAAAAAGTAATGAACACAATTTTCTAAAGACACGGTGTTGTCGAAACAATTGTCATGTGATAATATATAATTTCGTGAAAATCTAAACTTTTAGTTCTTATTTATGAAGTACTCTTTAATTTTCTTTTTAACAGAAATTAGATTTAATGGTCTAATATTTATGCTTAAAATATTATATAAGTGTCCATGGAGACGATTGTCTATCGATATTTTTAATTTTAGTTCTGGTTCTAGTAGATTGTTGCCAAATCTACTAAAATAATAATGATTGGCTGCATTTCTAGGAATATTTGAGCTGTTGATACACCCACACACGGGGCTACTGATACTGAACCTCTTAAACCGTCATTGACAATGATCCCGATATACGATTTCTGCAATAGTTCGATTTGTCTATTTCTGCAATGTAAAAATGGCAGGAGACAACGAAGGGCTGCCATACCGTAGCTCATATGAGTGGAAAAGAAGTCATACACTATGATTAGATCTTTTACATCAATTACTTTCTCAAGTTGTCGCAAGACAAAAAGACCTAAACTAAGTTTTCCTTTTTAATGTTTTTATGTGTTCTAGCTAATTTACCCTGTAATCAATTTCAACACCAAGTAAGCTAGCTGAACTACCATAGTTACTGATTGGTTGCTTGAGATAGTTAGAGTTTTATAAAGATTCATCTTAAGGCCGTTATTTTCAAATCACGTATTTGCAACTAGATTGCTCGGTATTTTCTTTTAATTTATTTTTATTTTTCCCAGAGGTTAAGCCTGATGTATCATCATCGCAATACAGTAATACACACTTAATAAGTTAATATTAATGTAAACGACAAAGAACAACGGAGCATCAAATTGTGATTTCAACTTTTCAACGATGTTTCTTTGTTGGACCCCACCCTCGCCAGATTTATCTGCAGCGACGCTGCAGAATCTAAATGTCGCAGTTTTTTACTCCTTTAGCTCTTTTTCGGACTTTTTTTATGGCACACTGATAGGAAAGGGCTTTTGCGGCTTTGTTACGTCACGAAAATTTAGGCAAAACAATTTTAGTTTGAAATTTGTTGACATTGCAACGCGTCGAAATTTTCAGAGCATCGACATAAAGGCTATCCCCATATCCACGTGCCCCTCAAAAAGGTGCCAAAGTCGATGAGACGCCGCAACGTATCGCAAGAATCCACCCCCGCGAACACACCCCCCGTGGACACGCCGACCGCCACGGCCTCCCCCACAGCGGAGCAAGCGCCCACAATTAGCCCCCTAAGTAGGTAAGGAGTAAAGAGAATGACCGCCGCGATCTAAGAAAAAAAACATCCCCTAAGTTATAATTTCGCACACAGCATACGTTCCAAGTTAGAAGATACGGAAACTGGACCGCTCAACTCGCCAGTTTTCCAAGAGGAATCGGATGTGGCCAGAGACAGCTCAGAATCTGAGTGCGTCCTTTCTGATCCGTGCAACTATCATCTTGGTGACGACGATTTTTCGCCGGATAAGAAGGTGTCATTTTTGGCTGCCGAGAATGGGGACACGTTTGACCTTGACGGCTTAAAGAAGAAGAAAAAGTAAGTGACTGGTGTTTAGGATGACGATTTCCTTAATTCGAGTGGATGAACGATTCCAAAGATAACGGAGTATCGATATTTTTATGCTTAGTAATTACGATCGGCTAACATTAGATTTAATTCGTTTTAATTATTATTTTCAGATCAAATCTCATTAAAACGTTATCTTCTATAGCACAATATGAACGGATTTGTCGAAAGCGCAGTCAGGTGAAACTGAATTTATCTAAATTGTCTTTTGTCCAGTTTTGGTTTCCTGTTCGAAAAACTTTTTGTATTTATTAATTATTTGTTAAAAGCTTCCGCAATAATATCGGTAGCTATTCTATGATTATTACTATAAATTTCAATGACAATCTCTTTGCAAAGTTGCAACTATTTTACAATAATTTTAGTTGCTTTCAGTTCTTCTAATTTTTCTCCTTTGAAAAACTTTTTATATGCGACAATAATGATTGGTGTAATCGAAGCTAAAGTTTTTGTGATTTAATGTAACATTTTTATGCAATAAAATCCACTTAAATAAACAAAATTAATAAAATTACTCTTTCTATCAATTTGGTTTCGTGTACACGTAATTTGTTCTAAAAAGTAATTAATTTGAATCGACTGATGCTCCCTCAGATTTTCACATAATGGGGGCTATATTAGCTCCCTTACTACCGTAAACGCTATTTTGAAATTTAAATTAAATCGACTAGAAGATATTTATGACAAGACGAATTAAATAAAAGTTTAACACCCTGTATCTTGAAAATATTAATTCCCGGCCCTATACGTTTACGAAGCTTTTACATCTTGTCGCGTCTATTCATTTTGTACTCTTTTCTCGGTCGATCAATAAAACGAAATTAAGAAAGATAATCTTGTGGAATTACATTTTCAATATGATTTCTGGCATATGACCGCCACGGCTGGCGCGGATGTAGTCCAATCTGGACGTCCAATTTTCGATTACTTTTCCCAACATTTGTGGCCGTATATCGGCAATAACACGGCGAATGTTGTCTTCCAAATGGTCAAGCGTTTGTGGCTTATCCGAATAGACCAATGACTTTACATAGCCCCGCAGAAAATAGTCTAGCGGGGTTCAATCACAAGATCTTAGAGGCCAATTCACAGGTCCAAAACGTGAAATTAGGCGGTCACTAAATCGATTGTGGCACAAGGTGTGTGACATGTTGCTCCGTCTTGTTGAAACCACATCCCCTGGACATCATCGTTATTCAATTCAGGAATGAAAGAGTTAGTAATCATAGCTCTATACCGATCACCATTGACTGTAACGTTCTGGCCATCATCGTTTTTGAAAAAGTACGGACCAATGATTCCACCAGCCTATAAAGCGTACCAAACAGTCAGTTTTTCTGGATGTAACGGTGTTTCAACATACACTTGAGGATTAGCTTCGCTCCAAATGCGGCAGTTTTGTTTGTTGACGTAGCCATTCAACCAGAAGTGCGCTTCATCACTAAACAAAATTCGCTTATTAAAATCGGCAACAACGGCAATCTCATTTTGGGCCCATTCGACGAATCTATGCCTTACTTGATGATCGTTTGGCTTCAATTCTTACGCAAATTGGATTTTGTAAGCACGTAAACCAAGATCCTTCCGCAAAATCTTCCATAAAGTGGATCCAATTCCTGTACTCGATGGCGGATAGACTCATTCGGGTCTTCCTCAATGCTACGCTCTACAGCAGCAATAGCTTCTTCTGTGCGCATCGTACAGCGTCTCTGGGGATGCGAGTTATCAGTAAGAGTAAACCTGGTGCGAAAACGTTCCATGGTTAATCGAATTAACTGCTCCGATGGACGATTTTGTCGACGATAAAATGGACGTAGTGCGCGATACGTATTCCGCACAGAACCATTATTTTCGAAATAAAATTGCACTATTTGCAAGCGTTGCTCAGGCATGAGTCTATTCATGATGAATTGCCAAACCAAACTTGACAGCTGTTAAATCGGTCGCCATCTTGAACAGTAATGCCAATTTAAATTTCTATACATCGAAAAAAAACACCCATTATAAATTCAACCAAAATGCCACTGCTGAGTATTTTGTTAATTGTGGCGGTAATAATAATAATTAGGTTAGTGACAGGTGTTTTAGATATATGGTTAGATAACTTCCATTCCATTTCTTTCTATCTTGTTGCGTCTATCCATTTTGTACTTTCATATCAACAATATCATTGCTGAGTCTTTTGTTAATTATGGTGATAATAATATTCAGTGTAGTGACAGGTGTTTTAGACCTACGGTTGGATAACTAGTCCATTTCTTTCTATCTTGATGCATCTAATCCATTTTGGAAGTTTTCTCTGGCTTAATCTCGATTCTTCTTTATACCTGCGAAGTTTTTCGTTGCCAATTTTTATACTTCTTCATTGTTTTCCACCCTAGGAGGCGTGCAGTCCAGTAAAAAAATTTCTTGCCTGGATGATTACGTTTCAACAAATTTAAAATGTTAACGCTTTTAAATTTTTGGTAATAAAGCCACAAACTGTTCATTGTTTGCATACTCTCTACAAAAAAAAACTCCGCTATTCAAAACAGGACAATTTTTCAGCTAGAACGAGTGGACAAACGTAGCAGAAGAACATGAGATACCGACACGGTTATGGATCTATTTTAGCGTTTTGTTTCTTATCAAACGGTCGCGAGCTAAAACTAGAACTTCATTTTCCAGAGAACCAGTTTCTCGTTTCGATCGATGAAATTGGACTCTTTTTATAGACTAACGTTATAATTGGTTTTTACTACAGAAACAACAATTTTCCACCGTTTTTGTTTTTACTTCTCAATACAATGCTTTTTATTTGTGTATGTGTATTTATAAGTGAATGTGTGATGTTGATGTCTAGCGCATTTCTCAACAAAGCCAATATAGAAAAAAATAGTTATAATAAGTGTTATTATGAATATTTTGTGGTTATTTTGATTTTTCTTAATATACATTTGTTTAGGCTTTAGGAGCCTCAATTTGGGTGGTTTGACATTATGGAAAATACCTTCTTTTCTTGGAAAAAATTGAGGAAAAGGTGTTTTTACAGAATAAATTTGAATACGAGCGTAGTACTACTAGGCCCTTTGAAATATGTTTTTTGTTATTTTTATAAATTGACAATTTCACGAGTGTAATGCGCCACTTTGATATCAAATACTCGTCAAACGAATTCACAAATTGGTTCTAATTTTCGGAAATTTTTTGCGTCAATTCACTAATACCAACTGTTCAAATATGTCAAGGTTATGTCATTATGATTAACCAGTTGTTGAGCAAATATCATAAAATAGTTAAAAAACTAACTTTGTTAACTGTTTTCTATATAATAAGGGTCCCCTGTTTTATCGATCAGTGCACAAACTTTTGGTAGGAACAAAGAAAATGGATATCCTACGCAATTCGAAAGCTGTACATCAGTCTAGACATCTTAGATTTACTGAATTATCGCATCTTGAAAATTTCTGTTCATTTTGTCTTGTGATCCTACTCAGAATTTTATCTAAACTTTCTTTTGACATTCTAAAAAACTGTTTAAACTATGCAGCGTCATTTTTAAACTCTATTTTAAGCAATTTTCACTTCGCCTTCATTTTTATTTTCTAGCCAAGGACTAATCCGCCATCTTTCGATTTTAGTTAGCAAAAAATTATTTGTGTAGAACATACTTAAACAATACTTAAACATCTCAATAAGGTCTATTACGAACTATGAATTACTGTTATAAATAAACACTGGTCCAAAGCAACAAAACAGTCAAACCTAACCTTGAAGTACTATGAATTAATCGAACTGTTAAACTTCATTTGTCAATTACTTCGTGAATTTGGTGTCAGTGTATTGACATAATAAAACAAACGACACGGCCGAATAAGAGCCCAAAAACAACAGAATTTCCCCCACAACTTGTTTCATGTAAATGAACACTTAATTGTTTATTATATTTGTAGCCGTCAGACCTTTAATTCCGCTGATCTCACTCCATCACCAGGGCAAACGATTCAAGACAGGTGTTCGATGTTTTGACGGATCGCTTCTCATAGACAAATCGAGATAGGTTCGCAATCGATCATAGTTCCTCGAACGCTTAAAAAATTATATTTAAAGCGAGCAAATGCAAAGCTAATAGGCTACAAAGCATACTTGCATACCTTAAACGTTTCATCACCTCAGAAATCGCTACATAGAATGACCAATTCATCTATGTGAAGAGAGACCGCAATGCCACGAGATGCCATATCCACAAATTGACATCTCGTTCGTAAAATGTAACTTTTTGCCGCGAATGTGCGGTAATTATTTATATTTTTATTGCGGTTGTCACTTTTTTTACGATCTTTTCGTACACCAATAACGACAGACCGTGGAATAAATACGTTTTATCGACAGATATGGCTCATTGATAAATTTTGACGAAATTATGACCGCCGTTCCATCAACGTCTTGCGAGTAGGCGGGTCGCGAAAATTAATTCGAGACAATTTTGACAGACCGATCGGGTTCGCGAAACCGTTTTCGATAGATTTAAATGGCCGACGGTGCCCTAAAAGCTACGAAAATGAATGGGGAAGATCCCGGAAGTTTGGAGGAATCGTAAGTTCCATTTAATTTTTTTGGTTTCCTATTTGGACTTGAGGCATGAATATATTATTCCCCCAGAAAACATCATTCTTCATTAAATCATTTTCGTAGCACTTTAACCTAAATTACAACAATCTTCTTCTTAGTTTTAAAATTTTACCTCTTCTAGCATTCATAAAGACTGCTTGTAATTGAAGTGAATTTCCTCAAGAGCATCATATTCTTTTATTATATACTTTTTATATATTTATAAATAAATAGATGTAAATCATAACAGGCCCTTTTCTTTTTTTTTTCTCTTCTTTTGTATCGAACTTATTGATGTTTCGCCAATCATTCTGTTGGCTTCTTCAAAGCTTAACCGAAACTGGTTTCCATTCTACTCTGTACCAGTTTATATACTGTTT